TTTACATGTATTATCAATTCACTTGTCACACTTTATTATTTCGATCGAAGAGCTTAACAATTTGAAGTTTAGAGTAATTTGCTCAAGGTCTTACTTGTGAAACCCAGGATAGAGAATTGACTTCAGGGAATTTGACTAAAATGTATTTTATAAACTACTGCACTATACTGTTTCCTTCATGCTGTCAGTTTCAAATGTGCAGATAGGAAACTGAGGCCCAAATTACTGAACTCATTAACCACTACTTCTTTAAATTGAATGACCATTATTAGTACTGGAAACTGACTTCTAAGTTCAGTTTGCTTTTTGTTACCATAGCTACCTTCTCAAGTAACAACTTATTGGTCCACCGTAGCCATTCTTATTTTCAGAACATGTGTTTAAAAGGATTCCTTAAGGAGTCTTTACTACCAGCAGAATTTTAAAATGTTGAAAAAGCAGAACATGCTGACTGGTGTCATCTTCCCAAGAATTTAGTAATAACTTAAGTGGAATCAGGTTTATTTCACATACTGATATATAGTATATTTAGCTTCATTTCCATTTTATCTTTACTCATTCTTGATATTGCCATATAAGAGGTATAGAAACTATATTAAACAAAATATACAATTTTTTATTTTCAAGTATGTTAGTTGAAATTAAGAACATAATATCATTCATATATATTGTTTTCTCATATTATGCTATACTGTTTTTCTTCTACATAAAACTGGGCTTTAAGTAAGTCATGAGTCATGGCAATGAATTTTCTTACAACCTTATTTTTATGAACCTTTTTTTTATTGAACCACTTTTTATTTTATGTTGGTTCATATGCTCTATGAAATATTCAATGAGGCCAGGTACGGTGACTCATGCCTATAATCCCAACACTTTGGGAGGCCAAAGTGGGTGGATCACTTGAGGTCAGGAGTTCGAGGCCAACCTGGCCAACATGGTGAAACCCTATCTCTACTAAAAATAAAAAAATTAGCCAGGCATGGTGGTGTACACCTGTAATCCCAGCTACTCAGGAGGCTGAAGCAGGAGAATCGCTTGAACCCAGGAGGTGGAGGTTGCAGTGAGCCGAGATCAGGCCACTGCAATCCAGCCTGGGCAAAAAGTGTGAAACTGTCTCAAAAACAAAAGAAAAAGAAGAGAAATAGTCAATGGACTACACAAGTAAAAAACATTGATACTAATGGTTTGTTGAAACATTTGTTCCTGTGGAAGAATTGATATGTATTCATTATCAAAGCCTGCACACATTTTTTTCTTGACTATTCACCTGATCTGAAAATACATTGCTCTTATAAATACAAGTTAAATGTATATTTTGGAATAAATTATCCTGAGTTACTGCTATTTCCCTCACTTATGAGAATTAGTAAAAAATCAGAGAGGAAAATAAATAAATGAACATCATGCTTTAGCTTTCAGGGAATTCATTATTCAATATTCCCTCTTTCAAAGGATTTTGAAAGTATATACATCAGTTAGAGACAAATTTTTAAGACCAGCTTAAAATCGCAGACCTAAGGTTAATTTTAAGTGAATTAAGTCATTGCTTTAAGGGCGCCATAAATGAAAGCTAACTATCTAAGGTCAATGTTTAAGACTTTTGCAATACTTACTTATTCTTATTCTTGTGCTTACTCTTACAACTTTTGGTGTGTGCCGGTAATCTCTTTGTTGCACATTAGTAGATAAAATGTAATCTTGTAATTTGTGTGTGTAAGCTGCTTGAGAACATAGGTATTTTTTCCTATAACTACTGGATTTCTGTTGCCTGAGGTGGTGCCTGATACATAGTAATTGATGAATTAAAAATTTGCAAACAAATTCAAGCTAAGTAAATCCTGAAGGCTCTTAGGGTATCTACTTTTGATGTGATTTTGAAGACAAAAATAAAAAGATGTACAAAAATCAATGTTTTTATAGTATGTTAGTGTACATTCCTGAACGTATTTTATAGAATGTTAGAATACATTCCTGAATATTGTCTTTTAAAACTATCAGTTCAACACACTAAATTCACTTATGAAAAGGAAATGAATTTCTGAATGCTGTTTGTTGAGAAGATAAAAACAGCTTTTCGGCCTTTTGGCTAAGATAAAGTGAACAAGATACAAAGTTTGTTGAAGTGGAGATTATGAAATGATTTCTGTTTGATCAATTACACTATTGTTATACTATCTTATTTGATTTTTAGGAAAGTATCTTGAGGAATCTCCTCTTAATCCTGTTTTAAAGGTAATTGAGGTTAAGTAGTTTGTTCATACTAACAGTTAGTAGGTGGCAAATTCCAGACTGTCTCCAAAGCCCTTCCTCTCTCCTGCCTTATGTATATAAGAAATAAGCTACAAGGGTTATAGACTATTTTCATGAACCAAGTCTCTAAGGACAAAGTGTGATTTATTTTAACCTAGCTGCATTTTTAAATTGAAAAGAAATATGTAGGTTTCTGGTTATTGTAACTGGAAACACAAAATGCATTGCATGATATGATGCTTTTCTCACACATTTGAGAAAGCATTGAAGGGTTTTGAGCATAGTAATGATAGGATAGTTTCAGCAGTATTCATCTGAATGACAAATCAACTCCAGGGTAGAGGCAGGGAGAATAAAGGAGGCTATTGCAATCATCTAGGCAAGAGATGATGACTGGTTGGATCAGACAGATCTTGGGGCCTTATTTTTTAGCCTCCTTTGCTAGTTCTTCCTGCAAGTGGTGAAAAGTGGTTGAATTTGGAATGAATTTTGAAAGTAGAGCCGACAGTATTTTCTGAATGACTGGATATGTGGAGAGGGAGGGAGGAGGGAAGGAGGGAATAAAGTCAAGGAAAAGAGTGAAAGAAAAGTAAGGACAGAGACACAAAGGTGATTCCAGGATTTTTACCTAAACAACTGGAAAAATTAAGTTATTCTCCTGAGTTAGGGGAGAATGGGAGAGAAGCAAGATGCTGGGACAGAAAGAGAGGCAGATCAGGAGTTGCGTTTTAGCTGTTTTCAGACTTCCAGTATATCAGACTAGATACCAATGTGAGAATCATCAATATAGACATAATTAAAGCCACGAAATTGGATGAGAACACCTGGGAAGGCTGAGTAGAGAGAAGAGGCCCAAGCCTTTTGAGCTCTGAGATACTCCAGAGTCTAGAATGTAGGAAGGGAACAGCCTCCTCCTTCCGGAGGAGGAAGAGCCAGTGAGGTAGAATCATCCTCAAGACTGGGGTTCTGGAAGTTAAATGAAGAAAATATTAAAGAGAATGAGTGGTTAGATGCAGCAGATTTTTCAGGTAGATTAAGTCCAGTAAGACTTAGATATGACCATAGGATTTAGTAATGGGGTGACCTTGACAAAAGATTGATCAAAGAAGATTCTGTTACTGAAAATAAACAGAAAGGATTATAAACCACTCACCTAGAAGACGTCCGAAGTTATTCTTTTAAGTTTGTGATCCTCATAGAGGCAAACTACTTTGCAGTTGTTATGTAAATTTGGTCATATTATCCTGTACTGTTAAACTCAGATATGTTCGTCAGTTATTTAAATACTGATTTTAATTACTTTAACTGTCAACATTTAATTAAAGTTTTTACAAAGTTTTACTTGAGGTTCCTCCTGTGTTTTGGTAAGTTGTTACTATATGGTGGAAAGGGCATACATACCTATACAAACAGTCCTAGGTTTCAGTCCAAACTTCACCGATTAGTAGTTGTGCAATCTTGAACAAGTTAGGTAAATTTTTCTAAGTCTCAGTTTCCTCATTTGGAAGTTGACAGGTAATAACTACTTTATATGACTGTCAATTAACAGTGGACTGGATTAAAAAAAAAAAAGTGGTACATATACACTATGGAATACTACACAGCCATACAAATGAAATTATGTCCTTTGTAGCAACATGAATGCACCTGGAAGACATTATCTTAAGCAAATTAATGCAGTAACAGAAAACCAACTACCACATCTTCTCACTTGCAAGTAGTGGCTAAACATTCAGTACACATGGACAGAGAGGGGAACAGTAGACCCTGGGGCTTACTTAAGGTTGGAGGGTGGGAGGAAAGGGAGGATTGAAAAACTACCTGTCAGGTACTTTGCTCACTACTTGGGAGACAAAATCATTTGTACATCAAATCCTGGCGACATGCCATTTACTCATGTAACAAATCTGCACATGTACCCACTGAAAAAGTTTGAAGAAGAAGAAAAAACAAGATACTGTGAGCATACTATCTGAAGCATATGATACAATTATACATCATAAATGATGTAAAAGTTGAGTCATTGATTTGTACTGTAAGCTGTTATATTTTTTCTCCAGTTTTTAATATAAATAGAAAACCTAGACAAGGATATTTATTTAAAACAACTGCATAGCAACTGATATTCATAAGAGAGATTAAAAACAGAAATAATCATGGGAATCAATTTAGAAACCAGATAATCTAGATGGAGATTTGTGTTGGATTTTCTATAATCAACTGCTATCAACTGTATACTACTCAATAGGGTAAAACAATTTTAATTATTTTGTTTTGAAAAAATGTAAATGCTGTAATGAATTATGTGCATTTATAAAGCTGACACCTTATTTTTAAAACTTTGATAATGTGGGAAGTAGTGATCAGACATTTGGTCACTTCTAACTTATTTTAAAGGATGAAAAATCATAAAAATGTTTTGTTCTACTTTGTACTTTTGCAATAACTCTACAGGAATCATATTTAATGTGTGTGTGTGTGTGATAAATCCCTTAACAAGTTATATAAAGTTTGTTTTTGATACTAAGTTGCCACCTACAGTTTACAGTACTATCATCAACCAACATTGTCATCTAATTGCATTTAACTAATAATTATTTAAAATAAGTGGAACTTAGTAGAAAGTAATAAAAATTTAATTAGTAAAAATCTCATTGGATTTTTCCATTGTTTATCTTCATGACTTAAAACTACAATTATGAGGCTTTCTCAAACTGTAATTTCTGTGTCTTTGTCTTCTTTTGTAGAGCTACATTCATGGAAGCAGCCAGGCTCAGTTTGTGGCAGAATCACACATCATTCTGGTACTGAGTATCCTTTTAAAATATTGATGAATTGAAAAGGGCAAACCAGAGCTACATGTTATTAAATTGACATTTTTCATGGCAGTAAATATCAAGATTTTTAAAAGACATTAAATTTTAAGCTGTACTGTATGATTTTTATTTTTTTGTTAATTATTTCCTATTACAGTGTAATTTATTGCTATTCAGTATCATTAACAGATCATAATTTATTTTTTACTGACTGTTGAATTTCAAAGTATTACTCTTACTTTGCATTGATGATCTCTGGCTAGATTTTTTTGTGTAGTTTATATGGCTTTTCCCTATGGCATCTTAATGGTGAGAAAAAAGTGCCTTATGGTATAAATAGCAGCTTAAAAAAGGGATTATCATCGTACTGCTTCCCTTAAATATATGGTATCTCAGAAGAAGGAGATTTTGAATGGTTCAACATGCCTTTTTGCAACATACCAGACTGAGTCAGACTAAGTGTTGTGAATCGGATCATACAATGTAATTTATGATTTGGATTTAGAAGGATAAAGAATGTAGCAGGATAAGAAAAAGGTAAGGTTAAGCATCTAATCTGAATATTCTTACAATGAAATAAAATTAGTTTGGACACTGTTTTGGGGGAACATTGATGTATGTGTGAGTCTTATGAAAATGTTTGAAATTTAAGTTCATAGTGTTGCTTGAACATATTGAGTCATTATGAGAATTTAACGTGTGCCTCTAGTATCCTTTATAAAAATTTGATTACTAATATCCTGGTTACTAAGATTCATATTCAAATGAAGTAGTCTAGACCAAATTCCCCAGTACTGTATATAACCAAAGCTGTAAACCTTTTAGTATCTTAGAATTCGTCTAGGCCAAACCTCATTTTATACGTAGGTTTATATGTAGGCCAAACCTCATTTTATAACTAGAGTCCACAGAGGGCTTATGTTAGGGAAGCCTACGTGAGCTAGAATTAGAATTCAGTTTTCTTTTTCATGGTCTATCAGTTGTGCAAGTACTTAAGTTTTATGTACAATACTTGGGTGTGTGATGTATAATTTCATGAATGAATGTTAGTCATGCCTACTCTTTTTAATCTGGATGAAAAATACTATCTTTTTAAGAACACTGAAGTTTTTGGATTTTATTACTTTGTTGTGTCATAACAACACATTTTTAAAAATCTACCAGCAAAGACTGACCCCTTCAGTTTATTCAAGCAACCTGTTTTATTTGCTTATTGTGTTTTAGGCACTGCATGAAGTCGTGGTATATAGTGATTACCGTATGGTGGGGAAAAGGGATGGGAAATGTTTAAAGCACTTGGAATTCTCGAGAAACTGAAAGTCTTCCTTGTTTGTAAACTCAGGATTAGCAATACTAACCACACGGCATTTTTGTGTGAAGAAAATGAGCTAGCACACATTAAGCATCCAATAATCACAAAAGGCTAGTTGGTTTATTCCTCTCTCTATTTTCCTTTCTTTCTTACTCGGAACTTTGGTGGCCACAGATAATATGCATAAACACATATATATGGGTTGATTTCCTAGTGATATTGTTTGGCTCTGTGTCCCCACCTAAATCTGACCTTGAATTGTAATAATCCCCACGTGTCATAGGAGGGACCCAGTGGGAGGTAACTGAATTATGGGAGTAGGTTTTCCCATGCTGTTCTCATGATAGTGAGTAAGTCTCATGAGATCTGATGGTATCATAAAGGGTCGTTCCCCTGCACGTGCTCGCTCTCGCCTGCTGCCATGTAAGATGGGCCTTTCACCGTGATTGTGAGGCCTCTGCAGCCATGTGGAACTGTGAGTCCATTAACCCTTTGTTTTCTTATAAATTACCCAAGCTCATGTATGTCTTTATTAGTAGCATGAGAACGAATACACCTAGCTTTTGACAAAGGTGTAGATGACCGAAAAAAAAAAAAGCATCTTCTAATAAAACTTATCAAAATTCTAAAACTTGAACTGTAAACAGTGAAATGACTTAATTTTTCTAGAGCAAAATTTTTGAATCCATTAAGTCATATAACTTATAATAAAAAGGCACTGTTTTTCAAGGTTTAATGAAAATGAAGGGCATGAAGTTGAGAAGAAAATGATTATAAATCTCCTTTATATTGCAGGAGAACTAAAAGATACCTTTCTAAAACTCATTGAACAACACTGACCATGTTCTTCCTATGTCTCAATTCTCAACATTTTTATTTCTTCCACCCTTGATTATGCATGCTTGGATACATAAATGAAATTGGGCATATCTGCAGCCCATTTCTTGCTTACATTTGTTTACTTGCCTGTATGCTTTATGGTTTCAAAATTAAGAAACTACTATGAGGAGTACTTGTTTGGTTCTAGTTTGTCTCACAGACTGGAATTGGAAATACAAATTTTGCTATATTTTTCAACAAATACTGAATTTCTGCACACCAGCTTTAATATGGTAAGAGAGTAATGCTTTCTGCACATCAGAGGGGCCTTCAGTGAGAAAAGGAAGTATTTGTATATATGTTTGTAGACATACCCACTCCTCCCTATTAAAAAATAAGGGCAAAGCTATATTTACTCTCAACTTATTATTTAAAGATATTCAGGAAGCAAAATATGTTAACATTAAAGCAAATTGATAGAAACATAAAGCATTTGTTGCAGGTAAGTTTTTAACTCTCATTTATTGAATTATTGTAGTTTCTTTTTTTTTTTTTAATTCCTAACTTGTTTCAATCCATGATGTAGCATTTCAGCAGTATACTTTATCTAGATAAAGTGATGAGTTTATTGAAACACATCAGGAATACTGAGTAGAAGGATGAAAAGCTGTGTTGAGATCATCATTTTATTGTATGGCAGGAATTCTCCAAGGTTTCATTTCATGGATCATTGACATCAAGTTGAGATTTAGGATTCCAAGAAATTTTACAAGCAGTATGATTTTTTCATATAGATCTTAGCAGTGATACATAAAAGAAAAGCCCCATTCTCTTTTTGCTAATAGTCATTATTTATTGCTTCATTTTTCCTGTGTTTTTTTATTTTAGATATATCTGTTACTAAGAAAGAAAAAAATTCTTTTAAAATGCTGGACTCATTATCAGTAAAACTTTAAAAGAAGTCCAGGCACAGTGGTTCATGCCTGCAATCCCAACACTTTCGCAGGCCAATCACTTTAGCTGAGGAGTTTGAGACCAGCCTGGGTCTACAAAAAATTAGTAGACGCTGTCTCTACAAAAAATTACAAAATTAGCCACATGTGATGGCATACACCTATGGTTCTAGATACTTGGGAGGCGGAGGCAGGAGGATCACTTAAACCCGGGAGGTCAAGGCTTCAGTGAGCTGTGATCACACACTACACTCCAATCTGGGTGACAGAGTGAGACCCCGTCTCAAAAAAACATTTTTTTTTCAATAATTTCTGATTCTACTTTCATTTGACAGTCTACTGCTACTTTTTGAACAATCTATATATTTTTTTTGTCATTTGTGTATTTTTTTTTTCTTCAGGCAAAAAGTTACAAATACCAGATGATTACTTTTCATTTATCTGTAGAGAGAACATTTCTATCTTTTGGATTTCTCGTCCTAATTTAGTAAGTCAGATTATTAGATGCAGTTTCTATATAGAAAGACTTGCTGAAGAAAACCTAGGAGAAAACAGATGGACTTATTTGGCATTGGGTAACCTATGAATTCTTTCTGAAGTATTATGAAGTTGAGCCCCACATGTCTTAATAAATTTGGCTGTCGAAAGGGAAATAGTGGCGTCGTGCCTGTTTAGGGAACAGAAAGCCAATGGAGGTTTGCTCCAGTAATAATATTAACGATAGGGTAGAGAAGGCAGAGCAAAGGAAGCAGGAATCGCTGGCAGTCGTTCTGGCTGCTGGCAATGGTTCATCCTCGAGGATGAACCTAAGTAAAGGAATGGATGAGTGACTCAGCTGCTGTTTGAGAGGAAGAAGAATCAAAATTGATAATAAATGTCACAAGTAAGATTCAAGAACAGAAATCAGAGATGATTCTGAAGTTCAGCTATGTGTTATAGGATAGAAATATGGAGGAAGACAAGGTTTGGAGGGGAATGTTTAGCCCAGAAAAGTTCCTAAGATTGATTAGGCCTCATAATTGGTTAATGAGAAAGAGATTAGTTTGTTTAAATTGCTTAAGATGATAAAGCCAATCAGTTGAAGAGTCAAGAGCTTAAAACTTTTAACGCATTGTTTTTCTACTTAGTAATGTTTTGCTAATAAATCAAAACCTCCGTGAATAGGCCAGTAATATTCTAACCAAATTGTAAATTGTGTGTATTTGTTGTATACATTTGAAAAGATCATTTTAATAAAGATACAGTGGATATGTTGATTTTATTTTTTATTTTTATTTTTCGAGACGGAGTCTCGCTGTCTCCGAGGCTGGAGTGCAGTGGCAGCGATCTGGGCTCACTGTAAGCTCCACCTCCTGAGTTCACTCCATTCTCCTGCCTCAGCCCCCCAAGTTGCTGGGACTACAGGCGCCCGCCGCCACGCCCGGCTAATTTTTTTGTTGTTGTTATTGTTGGGTTTTTAGTAGAGATGGGGTTTCACCATGTTAGCCAGGATGGTCTCGATCTCCTGACCTCGTGATCCGCTAGGATTACAGGCGTGAGCCATCGTGCCCACCCATATTTCTTTAGTTACTCTATCATATTTTTGTATAGAATACAACATCCTCTAGCAGTGTAAAAACAAATATGTGTGTGGGATATGTAAATATAAATACACACATACACGCAGGTGTATGTGCCAAGTGCTGAGGTACAAAGGTCACAAAACCCGACAAGATGTCTAATGGTGTGGCATTTACAGTCTAAAGGTAGAGGAAGACACACAACAAATGACAGTGCCAATAATTCTTAAGTTACAATTATGTTCTTTAAAAAGTTTTCAAATGTCCACAATTCAGTAAGACTCAGGCTTGAGGCACATGGATCTTAAGTGGAATATCATGAAGTGCAAATATGCAGTTTTTGAAACCATAG